GAGTGTGTGTGTGTGTTTCTTCCGTCTGTAGTTTTTTTTATAATTTCTTAAATTAACTTTCAGATGTTTTAATGCTCGTAGAGCTGTGACCTTTGACCTTGTTCACTGTCTTTTTCCTCCAGTGGCCGAGAGTAACTAAGTACATCTACTCAACTACTGTACGTAAGCACAATTTTAAGGTACTTGTAACTTGTGAATGATGATTTTCTGTTACTTTATATTGTACTGCATTACATTTACTGATCAACAGATAAATTATGATTTAATAATAAAACTTTATTGATCCCTGGAGGGAAATACAGTCACTGAAACGAGCTCCAGATTCAGCAGCTGCGACATTAAAGTGACGAACACATGAATACATCAATGATTATAATACAGTAATATATATGATTCTGAAACATTCAGCACAATGAGTACTTTTACTTTTGGTACTGTCATTATATTTTGATGCTTCATTTACTTCAGTACCAGAACAAGATGTGAGTATTACTTTACTTACACCTGTATCCAATATAAGAATAATTAAAATAAATGAACACGATGAGAATGAATCAGTGATTCAGTTTTCTATATTCAGATTTAATTCAACCAACAAGTTCATTTTAACAAGTTTGAGTTTAATAAACGACAGAAAGTTTGTTTCTGAACATTGTTAACATTATTGTGTCACATATTTCATAATACTTACTAAAACTACATCATTTTACTACATATATTTGGATTGTTGTCATCAGAATCAGAGTTTTTATGATCCATTCTGTCCTCTTCCAGACCTCCTGATCTACATCTTCCTTTATATTTTTAATCTCTATATATAATCCATATAATAATCAGATATTGTTCCTCATGCAAGACCCTTTATACAAACAGATTTTTTTATATTGTGTTTGCATCCACCTGTTCTGGAATTCACCTGTATTCTTTTTGCTCAGAGTGGCTGAGAGCAATCGGACCAACATAAGAACAAAACTTCTTGTTTTCAGACCACAAATTGTTTGTCCAACACAAAGAAACATCATATTATATCATATAATCAGATCAGATATGTTTTACAGTAATTATAGTGATGGGAATATTAAATTAGTGGGCTAATGAAACACTTTTGCTCCACTGGTTCCTATTAAAAAACCCTCTGATGATATTGGATGACATAATCAGTATTGTATATAATGTGATGTTATTGGGTTGTCCGTCTGTCCGTCCTGGGAGAGATATTCCTCCTCTGTGGCTCTTCCTGAGGTTTCTTTCACTGTATTCTGGGTTTTTTAGGGGAGTTCTGTTACCTGAATCAAAGGTCTGAGGACAGAGAGAGCTAAAGAGGCAAACTGTGATTGTGGGCTGTATGAACAAAAAGAAACTAGACTTGCCATAAAATATATGATCCTGTAGTAGATCCTCTCGTCAGTTTAAACAGTTTACACTAAAGACGGTGAAATGTGCGTCTGTCTGTCTGTCTGTCTGTCTGTCTGTCTGTCTGATCTACAGTCTGCAGTGTAATGTCGCCCTCCAGCTGCTCAACCAACCACCAGCAACAAGCAGCCTCAGATATTCTGGAGTAAAGCTCCGGATTCACCAGCTGCAACATTCAACTGATAATCATATTAATGCAGTGGCTTTCAAACGGGGTTCCGGGGACCAGCAGGGGTCCCTGAGTGGGTTGTAGGGTGATTTGTATTGATCCTAGTTTGATTATTGATTGACTATAAACACTTCTGTGGTCTAATGTGTAACTATTATGTAAAGTTTGGGAACTTCTGATGTACGATAGAGTCACAACACCCAAGAATAATGAGGTTGGTGTTTGTGATTAATGATAAAATAAAAGTTTAATTTCAAGAGATATCTGCAGACTCCATTTAGCATGCAGGAATAAAATATAACTTTATTTTGTAGATTTTCCTCCTGATGTTTTCAAGCAGCACTTTACTTTGCAGCTGCAGGGTCACATTACCTTCACAAACACACGTTAAATACCTGCACACTGCTACACAAAGGCTCTTCCTCAGGTAAAGGTGAGGACACCTGTACATACAGAGGAGCAGTGATACCCCGACCCCCCCACCCAAAAGTGGCCTCCACCCTCCGGTCTCCTCAGGGACGGGTTAACTGCAGCTCTCTGAGCTCCAGGCTGTAAGTCTTTAAACATTTACAGCTCCACAATTAGACTAAAGGTGAGCCTGAGAGCTGACGGCCTCAGGTGGTCTGCAGCGGTGTCACGTGGTCTCTGTCGCGGGTAAAACATCCATCGGAGGTATCTTTTCATTCGTGTTTAATCACCTGAAAATAACAACTGTTGTGTTTTTGTTACCTTAGAATGAGCGGTTATTTATCTACAGAGTCTGCCATGTTTCTACTGTAGCCCAGAACGGACAAACCAAAACGGCCTGTTGCATTTTTTTGAAAGTTTGATGGCCACCAGTTTCTTTTATCTGTGTAATCTGCAACTGCACCACTAGAGGCCACTAAATCCTACACACTGGTCCTTTAAAGCTCAGACTGCAGGCGAAGGAGAAACAGTTTTGTTCATATGTGACTCAGATCTTAATATGTGAGCAGCATAAATCACTTAGAGTCTGTCTATATAATTCTGATTTGGGAGCCGAACCAGTTCCCAACCACATAATAAAAAAATATCCAGTTGGAGAACAATGAAAAAAATCAAACAAACAAACACATGCCTCTTTGAAAGGGTATTAAGGGACAATAATAAGCCTTCAGCCAGCGAGTAAACCGACACTAACAAACTAACTTTCAATCAGAGACAGCAGATACATCCCAACCGGGCTCAGAGACCAGAGTTTCTGTCTGGCTGTATCAGATAAAGTTCCTCTCTTATGCCTTCAGGAATGGGCGTCATCACACCGATTGAGAGCAGCTGGGTGTTCCTTCTCTCAGCCAGTCACTGTTGAGGAGTCGGTCTTTACAACCAGTGCAGCAGGTGGTCTGAGGGATCCTCTGATCGACCCAAAGGACTGTTGAGACTGAGATACAATGACAACCAACTGCTCCCTCTCTGTCTGGTTCTGGGTTACTGTAGAAACATGGTGGTCCAAAGTGGTGGCCTCCATATAGGAGACCCTCTGTAGATATTAACAGCTCATTCTAATGAAACTAACACAACGATTCTTAGGTTCAGGTGATTAAAGTAATGAAAACACACCTGTGAATATTATATGTTACACACTGGACCTTTAAAGACCCGAAATGTGAAGAACATGGTAAACCTGATAAACAAACTAGCATTGGTAAGGTTAGCATGTTGGTGTGAGTGTGTGTAACAAACGACAGGAGCACTGAGCGTTAGTTTATTATATTTTTGACTTTATCAAAGTCAACGCTTCATTTCCTACAAACATAAAAGGCAGCAGTTCAAATATCATCAGAGGGAATTAGAAAGATTTATTTACATATTTATGATTTTTTTTCATTTAAATAAAAAAAACAAAAAGGACAAAAGGCGTATTGTATCGTATTTACATCGTTACCTTTAGTCACCACAGGGCACATGCGTTCACACACTCAGCTGTGTGTTTATACGGCGGAAAGTTAAAGGAAAAGTACAGTTTTTAAAGGTCTGACAGTAAAAAACGAACCAGAAACAAGCTGAAGATCTGATATCTCCACTCAGAGGTCGGTGGTTCTTAACTGGATCTCAAACTCAAACTGCCTCACAGTCACATTTTACTTTAAGTTTGTGTTTCATATTTTCTTTAACACAAATTCACACAATAACAATTTAAATCACCAGTATCTGATTCAACTTTGAGTTCTTGTTTATTATTCTTATACATGGGTATTAAATTGTATTTCTGCAATCTATTCTGATATTCGTTTTCATTTTCTAAGCAAAGGTTCACTGATGGTTTTTTGCTCAAAAGTGAATATCTGCTGGTTTTTGCTTCATCTTCGCAATATCAACACGTTAAAGCTGCAGTAGGGAACTTTTATAATAACTTTTTCACAGCATCCTGACAGCAGAACATTAGACAGATAATGTGTGAAACTATCAGGTTCCTCTGGCTCCTCCTAGTGGCTCCTAATGGCATCTGCAAAATCCATCACCTGAACAAAAACAACCAAAAAGTTTGTTTTTTTAAATAAAAGTTGTCTATTGCAGCTTTAATAAATGTAATTTAAATTTAAGTTTAATAATAGTTTTATATATTTTCTTACATTTATGAGTAGGGATGCACTAAAAGCATAACCATGCTAACAATGACTTTGAAAACATGTTTTATTTTATCATTTGTAACAAATTAAATTGTGCTAATGTTGTTAAAGTTGCTTAAAATATCTCTGAACTGCTGAGAGATTACGTAACGTCACGCTGCTGTAAAGCGGTACAAGTGTATCGGCAGAGTGTCGGTAAATAGATAGTTACAACCTAAATTCACCGACTTACTAAGAAAATAACCGACAAATTAATTGATAATAAAAGTTACATTTCCTGCATCGTTAAAAACAGGAAGTAAAAAGGTTTTTCAGTTAAGAACCACAAACCAGAGAACAAACAGTGGTGTTTCATAAGAACGTGACTGTGAACACAACAGATCACTTAATTTTTTTACCATCTTTGCATTTCTTTACACAAAAAGTAACAAATTCAATTAGTATAAAAAATAATAAAAAAAACAAATTATATTCATATTTTTATCTTTTTCTTCAGACACAGATGACGAGCAGCAGGCTGGAGACGACAGACAACAAAGAGCTTCACACACAAAAAACAAAAGGAAACAAACAGAGAGCAACGAAGACATCATCATCATCACCACTCTGGTTTTACAGGAGCAGGGTCGGGTTCTGCAGGCAGTTACATTTTTGGATCTGCTTTCAAGTTTGTAAAAAAGTTAAAGGTACTGCAAGGAGTTTTTAAACGAACAATAACGTCTGTAAAAAGACTGGATATTTCTATCGGACTCGATCAGCTTCCCCTTGAAATCAATGAAACGTGGTGGTAGAAACACTACCAC